AGCCCGGGCTCGCGTGCGGCTGGCGGGCCGGGAGGCGGGGAGCCGCCGCCGCCGCGCTTCCCCCTCCGCTTCCATTCTTTCTTTTCCCGGCAGCATCACAAAAGCGCGCCGCGGAATGAAGCCCGGAGCGGCGAAGCGCGGCTCCCTCCCACCTGGTGCGCAGCGCCCCGGGCGCGGAGCGAAGTGGGGTCCCCGAGGCTGGGGACCCGGGCTCACCCGGGGGCGCGCTTGTGTTTGGCTCTCGCGAATTCCAGCTGGGTGCTGGATCCCGCGAGCGGTTCCAGCACGTACACGCCGGTGTGTGTGTGCGTGTGTGTGTGTGTGTCCGCGTGTCCGCGCACGCGCACCCCGGGGCCCACGTTCGCGGGCTGCGCTTGGTCCAGGGCTCACCTCCCCGCCGGCCGGCGTGCGCCGAGCCGGGGCTTCTCTGCCGTGCGCGGTGACAACGTGCCAGAAGCTCTTTGTTTGGTTGTGGCCTCCCTAGCCCATCAGCAAAGCAAATTGATTTTCAGTTTCACTTGCAACTGAGCGTGGGCCACAGCCTCGGATGCCCCGGTATTTGTAACTGAATAGTTCTTTCGGGCAGGGGGCTATTTTTAGTCTTGGGAATAAAGAGGCGAGCACGGTGACCTTTTTGCTGCTGCCTTTGGCTTTCAGTAGGTGTCTGATGAGCAGATGCCCGTCTAGTCACGCACACGTGCCAGCGCTCACGGGTGCACACACATTTCTACACCGTAGTTTCCTTCTCTTCCTTTCTTCTTTAAAAATTGCGAATGCATTGTGTGTAAGAAAAAAACTTTCCTTTGTTCTTTTGGGCATTTTCTATTTTGGGTAATGGAGTAGGAGGACGAAAAGGTTGCAATTAGTTCACTGGAATAAAAGACACTGCTCTGAGTCAGAGCAGCCAGGTTGATAATTATTAACGTATAATAAAAGCAAATGCAGTTTAAGGCAAAAGGGGCGGGGCGGGGGCAGGTCCGCGGCAGACAATGGGGAGCGTCTCCGAGACCGCCTGCTGCTCATTGTTCGGGGACTCGAGGCCGCAGCCGGCAGCCGCCCCTGCTCCGGGACGCCCCCTCGAGACCGTCGGGGTCACCGCGCGCCGGCCCGGCCGCCCCGCACTGACCGTGCTCCCTCTGCTTTGCAGGTCGGCAGCTTCGCGCCGAGGGTGTCGCCAGCC